ATATCCTATTTTATTATATTATTTTATACTATATTATATTATATTTTATTGGATTATTTTAGATAATATTGTATTATATTATATTTTATTATATTATTTTATATTATATTTTATTAGATTATTTTAGATTAAATAATATTATTTTATATCCTGTTATTTTATTTTACATTATATTATATTTTATCATATTATATTATATTATAATTTATTATATTTTATTATATTATATTATTTTATATTATATTTTAATATATTATATTATTTATACTATTTTATATTTTATAATATTATATAATATATATGATATATATTTAAACTATTTTATTTTACATTATATTATATTATTTTAAATTGTTTTATTTTACATTATAATATATATTATTTTATAATATTCATATTTAATTGATTTAAAGGGACAGTTCACCCTCTAAAATGAATATTCTGTAATCATTCAGTCAGTGTACATTTTTTAAATCTATTTGAGCTTCTTCTGTTCACATGACAAAAGAAGATATTCTAAAGAAAGCTGCTAACTGGCACCCATCAACTACCACAACAGGAAAAATAAATAGTCAGTAGTGCCGAAAGTGCAATTTGAAGGCTTAATTTATTCAAGTAAGCAAAGTTACTTTAATTAGGCAAGTCATTAGACAACAGTGATTTGTGCTGTAGACAATCTTAAGGGGGCTAATAATATTGACCTTAAAATTGTTTTAAAAGATATTAAGAACTGCTTTTATTCCAGCCAAGCTAATAGAAATAAGACTTTCTCCAGAAAAAAAACATCAAATTTCACAGCAAGGTGTACAGTTTTAACTTCAACTGTAATGAAACGTTTATTTTACAGTATTATTAAGATGCCCCTTTCACAAACATCTGATTCAAAATTCCGACTGGTATTGTGAGAAGAGTTGTGTAATCTGGAACTTTCTGTTTGCTCTCTCTTCAAGACTCTGAGGGGCCTCATCAACAATCCCACCTACCCTCCCAAACCAGTGGAAGTTCTGCCTAGAGGACGCTTTCCACAAGCTGCTGCCTACTCCAGCGGAGGGCCGCTGCCCTCTCCAAACACACTGCAGCAGGTCAGCACATTTACAACTACTCTGACCATGTTTCTAGTAAATCTGAGGCAAGTGTGTATTATACAGTGTGTGTATGTGTATATATGTTTATACGCCCTATCATACATAATCTGGTGTAAGCAAAATAATCTTGATTTAGATTTGGAATTTGGACATAACGTTTTTAAAAACAATCTCACTTACGGTATTCGTTAGATCGTGGCAGTTTTTAAATAAAAATAAAACGTCATGTGCGACATTTTCAGCTTCAAATAATGCAAATTGACCTTTTTCAGCAAAACATGCAGGCCACGTCATACCTGAACCGGAGATGTGACCCCAGCGCACTGATGTCTGCGCAGAGACCCAGCTACACTCACACACACCTCTCTATGCCCACTGAGACAGCTGGTAGAGTACAGCTTATCTGAAGCAATCAATGCCTGGCGTGTGTTTTGTAGGTGCCATAGAATGCATTGATGAAATGTTAAATTGCTCTCTGATGTCTAAATCGAAGGTAAAAGGCTTGGGTAACTGCAAAAACATCCCCAGATGCTGTTTTATGGGTTCATTTTTAACCATAAGAGTTGGCCCTAATATGAGATGAACGCTTTGACCTTATTTGGAAGGGTCATGAATATTAAATTGTGAATCTAATTAGTGAGTGACATGTCTTTACGCCGCCAGAAATTTGTTTTACCCTGAGATTATCCTGAAGATGAAAAATGTGTTTTTTTATTAATTAATTAATTAATTTTTAAGCCTTGTGGCTATATAAAATAGTGTTGTCTATACTGGAAATCGGCCAGTCGATACTGAAATTGAAAAAACGTCCATTGAGCACTGGAGTGCGTTCTTAAACAGTGCTGATTGGCCATTGTGTTCAGGTGCTCAACAGAAATGGCTGTGATTGGCTGTGAAGGTCATCAGTTCACCGAACTCACCTCTCTGTCCCTTTTAAATCAATTAAATATGAATATAATATAAAATAATATAATATAAAATAATATAATAAAATATAACATAATATAATATAATATAGTATAATATAATAAAATATAAAATAATATAATATAAAATAATATAATATAATTTAATATAAAATAATATAATATAATATAATTAATATGATATAATGTATCATTTTATTTTTACATTATATCATATTAATATAATATATAATATATATAATATAATCATATTAATATAATTTTATTATTACATTATATCATATTAATATAATATATATATATATAATATAATCATATTAATATAATATAATATAAAATGATATAATATAATATAATAAAATATAATATAAAATAATATAATAAAATATAAAATAATATAATATAATAAAATATAAATATGTTCTCGCGAACATTTGAGCACTGGAGTGCGTTCTTAAACAGCGCTGATTGGCCATTGTGTTCAGGTGCTCAACAGAAATGGCTGTGATTGGCCGTGAAGGTCATCAGTTCACCGAACTCACCTCTGTTTTAATTTAATATAACATAAGATAAAATAATATAATAAAATAAAATATATAATATAATATAATATAATATAAAATAATATAATGTAATATAATATAATATAATATAATATGATAATTAAAATATAATAAAATATAATGTAATATAAAATAATGTAATATAAAATGATATAATAAAATATAATATAATATAATTAATATGATATAATGTAAAATAAAATAATTTAAAATAATATAATATAATTTAAAATAATATAATATAATATAATGCAAAATAATATAGTATAACATAATATAAAATAATTAATAAAATAAAATATATAATATAATAAAATAAAATATATAATAAAATATCATAAAATCAAAATAATATAATGTAATAAAATATAATATAATGTAAAATAATATAATAAAACATAAAATAATATAATATAAAATAATATAACATGATATAAAATATTATAATATAATTTAATATAAAATAATATAATAAAATTAATATAATATAATATAAAATATAATATAATATAATAAAATATAACATAATATAATATAAAATGATATAATAAAATATAATATAAAATATCGTATAAAATGATATAATATAAAACAATATAACATGATATAAAATAATATAATATAATGAAATATAATATAATATAAAATAATATAATAAAATATAAAATAATATAACATAATATAATATAATAAAATATAAATATGTTCCCGCGAACATTTGAGCACTCGAGTGCGTTCTTAAACAGCTCTGATTGGCCGTTGTGTTCAAGTGCTCAACAGAAATGGCTGTGATTGGCCGTGAAGGTCATCAGATCACCGAACTCACCTCTGTTTACTGAGTGTAACCACAGATACAGGGACACTAGAGCGTTTTAAATCCATGTCAATCAGCTGGCCTGTCCATGAGCTGACACACGACTGATCAGTGAACTGATGACCTTCACAGCACCTAAATGTTAGCAAGAAATAGACGTTTTTCAAATTTCAGTACCAATTGGTACCTAATTCCAATATCGTGAAAACATCGGCAGGAATCAATATAAATCGATCAGTTTACTGCCATATTTTTTTCACTCAAATTCACAGTAAGAGCTGAGCGATATGACATGATGCATAAGCGTGCACCAAACAGTTTAATCCGTATATCCTGCATTTTGAGTTCTAAAATGCTTGCTCTTGAAAGCTTTTCCCATTTTAAACTAAGAGTCCTACGTGCATCGCAAGTATAACACAAGTTTAGATAAACATAAAAATAAGGGAAATCAAAAGCGTACATATTAATGATCCCATATGTATTGTGATAGTGTTTTGTTCTGATTTCTGGGTTACCATGTGGCTATTTTCATGAACTGAACTCCTATTATGAATCTACACCCGTGTACTGTATATCCAGATTTTCATTCTATGGCACCTTAAAGAAATGAACGCTTTCAGTCTGGTTTATCTTTCTGTTTGTTCAATGCTGCTGTGTTATATCTCTGAGTATTGTCTTGATTCTGTTGGACTTTTAGCACAAGGAAGACAGTTTTCTCAGATGTCCGTCACGTCATCGGAACCAAAGACCAGGTACATTTTTTTTTTTTATTGAAACTAATCTGATAACTTTTTGAGAGCACAAAGAAACGTGTGAACGTCCATGTGAAATCAAAATGTCGGATGTTTATTTTAGTAGCGCAAATTGTTATTCTTAATCAGCGTAAGTTAATTAACTACAAAACAGTTAGTTTTGGTAATCTTCAATCAAAGTCTGAGCCTTTACTTCACTCTTTTGAAGGGGCGGTGCTTCTCTGATGATGTCAGTTTGACACTTCAGACACAATAGTTTTAGCCACGCCCCTCTTATAGTTAGTTTGCTAGAAGGGAATGGCGCACAAACAGAAAAGCACCGTCAAGATTTCGCCCCATCCGCTTCATGCTAGCTATAAAGGGTATGTTAACTCCTGAATTACCATAATTCTGTCATCAGTCATTTATACTAAAAGGCTAAATTTCTGTGAAGACAGTTATTTGGCATTTTGCTCTTGAACTTGGGTTGATGTCAGTATGACGACGATCCAAAGCACACCAGCAAATCTACTTTTGAGTGGCTGCAGAAAAGCAAAATGAAGACTTTAGAGTGGCCTAGTCAAAGTCCTGACCTGAATCCAATTGAGAAGGACGACCTACAAAAGGCGATTCATGCTCGAAAACTCCTCCAATGTGGCTGAATTACAGCAATTCTGCAAAGATGCGTGCGCCAAAACTCCTCCACAGCGCTGCAACAGACTTATTGCAAGCGCTTGATTGCAGGTGCTGCTGCTAAGGGTGGCCAAACCAGCTATAAGGTTTAGGGGCAAACACTTTTCCACACAGACACAATATTTTTAGCCACGCCCCTCTTATAGTTAGTTTGCTACAAGGGAATGGTGCACTAATAGCAAAGCCCCGCCCCCTATTCAATATTCACTTTCATTAGGAAGGACATTAGCATACTGAAATAAAATCCTCGGCTATTTCCGCTTCACGCTAGCTATAAAGAGTATGTTAACTCCTGTAATAAACATAATTCGGTCATCAGTCATTCACCAGTATGACAACGATCCGAAGCACACCAGCAAATCTACTTTAAAGTGGCTGAAGAAAAGCAAAATAAAGTCTTTGGAGTGGCCTGGCCAAAGTCCTGACTTGAATTCAATTAAGACGGGTGACCTTAAAAAGGCGATTTAACGTAATTCTGTCATCATTTATTCACCCCAAAATGCTAACTGCCTAGATATTTCTGTGGAGACTGTTCTGTGGCACTTTGCTCTTGGCATGACGGTAAAACGGATGCAGGAGCAGATCATGTGGTGGAAGTGGGAGAGCTTTTCGCTCATGTTCAGTCATTTGGAAAGCCAGAAGATGATGTTATCCTCTCTTCGCATCTTTGCTCATTAGTTATGAAAATAAGCTGCTGCATCTGTTTTTCTCATCGGCACAGAACCTTTCACTCCCTTCTGCAGTTTTGCCAGGTTCACACATTACTAATGAAGGAAAATGTCATTCTATTTCCTCCAAGCTCTGTCTCCTGGAAGCGTGCAGAAGCCCCCCAGAGTGGCCCGTCAAACCCTTCCACCAAGAGGAGGCGCAGGTCATCTCCAGGGCCCGTCATCGTCATCAAGGATGAGCCAGAGGATGATGATGAAGTTCGTTTCGTAAGTTGCTTTGTTTGTTCGTTCGTATTTAGCACCAGATCAAAAACAAAGGGTCGTTGTTTCATATGTTTAATTCTGTGCAATGCAAACACAATTCTACTATTTTTCGCAAACAAAAAAAAAAACATTTAAATTAAGGGTTTTGTATAATAAGACAAATGATATCAAGTTACAGAACAACCACAACCCTATATATATAATTAGATGTTATTTACAGGGTGAATGAAACGTAACATCTGTATAAACAGTGGTGTGAAAAAGTCTTTGCCCCCTGACTGACATCTCATTTTTTTCCCCCCATGTTTGTCACACTTTAATATTTCAGATCATCAAACAAATGTAAATATTAGTGAAAGAGCACAGTGACAACAAAAGACCCCAGAACAACATCCAAAAGAACTGCAGGCCGCACGTGCCTCAGTTAAGGTGAGTGTTCATGACTCCACCATAAGAACGAGACCCTGGCGGTTTCCAAAGTTCCGAGATGAAAACCACCGCTGAGCAAAAAAGGCTCGTCTCAGTTTTGCCAGGAAACATCTTGATGATTCCCGATTTTTGGGGGAAAATAATCTGTAAAATGTGGTAGTGTGATAGTCTGGGGCTATTTTGTTGCGTCAGGACCCGGAAGACTTACTGTGATGAAATGTAACCATGAGTTCTGCTGTGCACCAAAATATCCTGAAGGAGGATATCCGGCCATGTGTTAGTGACCTCAAGCTGGAGTGAACTTGGGTTGTTGTCAGTATGACAACGATCCAAAGCACACCAGCAAATCCACTTTAGAGTGGCTGAAGAAAAGCATAATGAAGGCTTTGGAGTGGCCTAGTCAAAGTCCTGACCTGAATCCAATTGAGATGGATGACCTTAAAAAGGGAGACTCTTGCTTGAAAACCCCTCCATGTGGCTGAATTACAGCAATTCTGCAAAGATGAGTGCGCCAAAACTCCAACACAGTCCTGTACAAGACTTACTGCAGGTTTTGGAGAGCGCTTGATTGCAGTTGTTGCTGCTAAGGGAGGGAAACTTTTTCACACGGAGCTATTTAGTTTTGTATTTTGTTTCGCCTCAATAATAAAAACCTTTGTTTGAAAACTGCATGATGTGTTGACTCGTGTTGTCTTTGACTAATATTTCAATTAGTTTGATGATCTGAAGCATTCAAGTGTGAAAAACAGAAACAGTAAGGGGGGGCTAACACTTTTTCACGCCATATATATTTATAGGTCCTAACAACAATCACCCGCCCTATCCTTTTATAGAGGATGCTTATTGTGTCCCAACTTTTTGAGAGCATGCAGATGTTTCCTGGGAGTGGTAAAAGGCTTTTCCCGATCGCGTCGAACATGATGTTTGTAGCGAGCGGTGCCCTTTTAAATTGACATCAGGTGTTTTGCGCGCTGTTCATCTGCATTCCTTCGCATTTTGACAGAGCGCTCTTTGCGCCTGCAGTTGGAAAAAGTGAACTTTAAGAAAGAGCCTGAGCATCAAGACTATTGCCTAGCATCATAAAAATACAGTGCTCTGCTCTCCTGAACAGAGTCTTTTCCAAAGTAAACTAAACTGCATAATTTGTCCTATGGAAAAAAGCTGGTTTGCAGAAAGCCCTTATATGGGGCTGGTTTGGGCGTGTATTATGCAGATGACTCATGTTATGCACGCTCACGTGATTCAGAACACTGGAAATTTACCAACTGAAGAAAGAGATGTGGAACAAACTCACGTGCGTGCACATGTTGTGAATTAGGTGGAAAGTTTTTGTTAGAAGTTAAAATTATTAATTATTATTAATTAATAATTAATTATATTAATTATTTAGCATAGACTGTAAAAGATATGGACGTAGTGTCTGTGACGTCACACATATGTTTCTGGAGAGCTGCAAGTGGGCACGGCCAACTGGCGCCATTTTGTTCGCGCGTCATCGCTCCAACATGGGGTAGCCAAATAAGGGCAAAGAGGCGGAGCTACAGAGTGTGAGCGGAGCTACAGGCGGACACGTGCTAGCATTTTGCTTAGACGGACTTTTCTTTGGGAGAAACGATTAATACTTCAATACCCGCGACTCGTTTGTGTTCTGACCACATGTGCTTGGTTGTACACTATATCAATAAAGTGTTTAGACTTTTAAAAACACTGTTGTAACACATTAAGCCACTAAGAATTGATCTTATGACGTTTTTTTACAGGTGGAAAATGCGAATTACTTCAAATATAGTCAAATATATGTTAGTAAATGCAAGGCTATTGATGAAATCCAGCATAACACTGTATGACAGCGCTTCAGACGACTGTTCTAGAGCCTACAGCTGATCAATCTGTCAGATTCTGGCGTGCTTTACAGCTCTAAACGACATTATGAATGATAATTGACCTTAAATAAAACAAATGCATTTATAGAGATGATATATAAGCATATAACTACTCACATGGGAAACGGAGGCCACGTGAATGGTTTGTGAGCACAATTAAGTGCACACAGCATGCCATATCACCTGATAATTGTGTAGGAAATAATTCCGAAAAGCAACTGACTGTGTTAAGCCAGCTAAAACAACACAAAAATACAATCAGTTCAGCGGCTAATCAGCCGGAATCAGTGACGAGACCTAGCTGTCACTCAAGTGGCCACGCTCTTAATTATGCAAACTGAACATAAACAAAACGGATGAGTTATTGAAATAACGACCCCCTCACAGTTGTCATGTAGGGTAATATTAGGTATATGCACCGAAAATCTTTGTACCAAGCTGCAAACTCTTTTTTTCTGCTGTAAAGTCGGCCATTTTAACAGTGGGCTCAATAGAAATCTGCTCTATTATGGAGCCAGGACTAGCGGAATTTTAATGAATTGTAGTTTCAGTTCCGTATCCGCTTGTTAAGTGGTGACGTTTTTGTGACGCCTGTAATACTGTTTCCGGGTCCAAGCCGCCATTCATTCGAGTGGAGAAATCATTCGTTTATGATCACGTTTTATTCCTATCACACATTAAAGTTCATTTTACGTAAAGTCATAGTGTACACAACAATCTTTGGGCTTGCTCCATTACAAATACCAAAAATTTACAATTTATAAAAAAATTTATCACTTTCTGGCCATCGGATATTAGGCATGGACATATTGCGATTGTGATTTTCGAAAGCATTAAATCGCTTTGTAAACGTTTAATATTACCATTTCATGAGTCTCCCCATTCCGTTGAATAGAGCGATTGGACCCGAAGGCCGCGGATTTGCTTCATGAGGCGGAGCGGGAGGTTTCCGTTTGGTATTTAGTGACATTTCGTCTTGAAACTCTTCACTTGAAGTCTCTTACTATACCTATTTTTCCACAGTCTCCCGAATCATACATTCAGCTCCAATATTTAAGTCGAATTTTCATCCTTTTTGTGCGTTTACTTTACTAAGATGAATAAATATTTGCGTAAAACATCTATATTCTGTATTATTTGTATTTTCAGCTATGAAAAAATACGTTTTGTGTCAGTCTCTACATTGTGGTTCACTCTGTTTACATCAGTTATGAAACGGCAGAACACTCTGTAAAGCACTGGTAGAAAAAGCATGCGACTTGCTCTAAGTGACGTCACCTCCTCTAGTGGGAAACTCTAGAAGGCACTGAAGCGTGTCACTATTCTTCTCTCATTAATTTGAACAAAATATTTAGGACACAGCAATAGTAGATTATTATTGGTTGTTGTTGGTATTATTTTTGTGTTTGTTCTGTTTCTTCATCTTTTTCTTCTTCTTCCGCAATGATTTGAATGGCAGCCTATATCGGAGTTTGCTCGAAAGTTATGAAATTTGGCACATTGGTAGAGGACAACCTCCTTATTAAGTACAGCAAATTTGCATTTGTCTAAATCCCACTCTATAGCGCCACCATTTGTCCAAAGTTGGAATTTTGAAAAGCTAGTAACTTTTGAACCGTAGACCACAGAATCGAAATTCAATCCGACGCCAAATTTTTAAAAAATCGTAAGATTTAGTTTTTTTTTCTATTTTTTATTGTTTGTAAAACCTACTTTTTCAAACTCGTCCTAAACGGTTTGTCCAATTTTCACCAAAATTGGCTCGGATCATCTTCAGACCATGGTGGCAAAAAGTTAAGAAATTTAAGATGATTACTTTTAATCGCTGTCGAATAACGTGAAATTTCGTCAAGAAGCATGCAAAATCATACTTGACGCTATATCTCGGCAACGCTTAACTCTATTTGCACCAAACTTGCTGTGTGTTATGACAACTTTGATCTGGGGTTGCCTGCATAGTTTCGTTGCAGCGCCACCTAGTGGTCAGGATATATGAAAAACTGCTAATTTGGCTTATATCTCTTGAACACTTTCACCAAATTTCACAATATTGGTCTCATTACATTCAGAGAGCCATTCTGAGTCGAATGATGCCCAATTTTTCCATGTTCGCCGTTTTGGGTGTCGGCCATATTGAATTTTGTAAAAAAAAATGCTATATTTTACGAATACAAAAATTGGTATGCATCTTCAACACCATGCCCTGAAAGTGCTCAACGTTTCAGAGCAGCGCCACCTTGTGGTCAAAAGTTGTAAAGAAATTTAGAAAATCGCTAATAACTTCTGCTACATTGACCTCATTGCTATTTGATATGTTCCTTGGTTAATTCTGCAAACATTGATACCACATTTTCCATATTTTGCAAAACTTCCAGTCAGCCATTTTGATTTAATTTGAAAAGCTCCTCCTAGGCCGTTGGTCCAAATTTTGTTTTTATTTTTTTCTATTTATTTATTTTTATTTTTTTACCAAATTTGAGATCATCATCAGACCATGCTGACAAAAAGTTATGGAATTTGTGTCGATAGCGTTAACGGTTTTTGTTTAGGCTGTATCTCAAGAGTTATAACCCATTCATTATACATTAATAAAGAAACTTACAAATTTGGTAATAAGTTTTCACAGCATATGCTAATTTTGATGAAATTGAGCTCCAATTATTCCTCAGGTGATGCTGAAAACAATGATACCCCATTTGCCATAATTGCCAAAACTTTTTGTCCGCCATTTTGAATTTAGTCAAAAACATACTTTTTCAAACTCCTCCCAGCCCATTGGTCCGATTTTCACCAAATTTGAATCACGTGATCTTCAGACCTTGCTGGCAGAAAGTTATCAATTTTGTGTTGATAGGCAATACGGTTGTTGTTTACAGCACCAACAAATCTGCTGGTACATTGCTAAACTGCATCTGAGGCTGTAACTCTGCAATGCTTATACGTATTGACAAAAAACTTAATGTCACCTCACACTGACCACGTCACATAAATTTGGTAACAGCGCCGCCTACTGGTCAAAGGTTATAAACCAGTAAATTATTCAAATTCTTATGTTTCTGCTTACATTTCCAGTTGAATGAACTTCGAATGTATTCAGAGCTAGGGGCGATGCAGTGGCGCACTAGGTAGTGCTGTCGCATCACAGCAAGAAGGTCGCCTAGTCGCTGATTCGAGCCTCGAGTTGGTGTTTCTGTGTGGAGTTTGCATGTTCTCCCTGCGTTCGCAAACAAGAAAACGAATAAATGAATGAATGTATTCAGAACTCATTGTTTCGCTTGCTCTGCTGCTTCCAGAGCTTGCCGCTCATGGCCTCTGGACTGCTTGGCCCCGCAATTGCTGCTTGCAGCTATGTTTATTATTCTTATTGTTAACTCTGCTACTAGGATATTTCAATCAATCTCTCATTCACTCGTTTTTAAAATCTATATTAAGATAAAAATGCTCGAAAGTGTGTTTTAGACATGCCATGTGGAGTCTGGCTTGAGGTTAGCATTGTAAGCTAAAGCACAAAATGGTGGACAGTGTCAGCTCAGTTACTGTCAGCTCAGTTACACAGCAATTAGTAGCCGAATCAAACGCTCACTAACGCATTTAAGCATTGTACATTAATAAGAGCTGTGCTGTAATTGATATATTTGTTGTGTGATTTCAGTTTAAAAAAATAAACGCAACTTAAACTGAAGCAGTTTTCAAAACGCAAAATGGTGGAAAATGACAACAATAAGAAGAACTAGACAATTAGTAGCACAATCAAATGGTTCTGAACACGTTTAAACCTGTTAGATTTCACACACACACACACACACACACACACACACACACACACACACACACACACAAAGGCATTCTTCGAGGATCTCTGACATGTGTTGTATATCCCTCCACAGGTAAACACCAGTGCTAAAGCTAGTCTTCCAGACAGCACAGGGGTTCAGTCTCAGTCAGTACAGCCGGGTGAGCAGCAGTCCGAGAAGACCCCAGAAGCAGACGAAGACCCTAATGAGGACTGGTGCGCGGTGTGCCAGAACGGAGGAGAGCTGCTCTGCTGCGACAAATGCCCCAAAGTCTTCCATCTCAGCTGCCACGTGCCCACTCTGACTGCCTCTCCAAGGTAACCCGCACACGACGCGCAGCTAAAATGAGTTGGGGGTGGCACAGTGGTTAGCACTGTCACCTCACAGCAAGAAGGCCGCTGATTCGAGCCCCTGCTAGGCCAGTTGGCATTTCTGTGTGGAGTTTGCATGTTCTCTCCGTGTTGGCGTGGGTTTCCTCCGGGTGCCCAAACGCATGCGCTATAGGGGAATTGGGCAAGCTAAATTAGCCGTAGTGTATGAGTGTGTGTGATTGAGTGTGCATGGGTGTTTCCCAGTACTGGGTTGCTGCTGGAAGGGCATTTGCTGCGTAAAACATATACTGGACTAGTTGGCGGTTCATTCCGCTGTGACGACCCCTGAAATGGAAAATGAATGAATTAAATGAGCTGAATCAACACAGTTCTTGAGTTTTTTTGGGCACAACTTAAATGTTTTATGTTCAATCAACTTAAATTATTGAAAACTAATAAGTGAACTTAATTCCTTCATGTTTTCCCAACTTAAATAGATTATTTAGAGCCCAGCGTTTGTTACAGTGTAGTTAATTACTCTATTAAACTGATTCAGTTTATTAAACCTGTCCAGATTTAAAAGTATATTAGTCAGGTCAAAACACACTCAAGCAGTTGAATCTGCATTAAACTTGTCTTTAATAAGTGTTCTGTTGTATATATTTTGTGCTGTTGCTTGTTGTATTTTTTCTTACTTGTTCACTGACTGTTCATGTACAGTTGAAGTCAGATTTATTCGCTCTATTTTGATTTTGTTTATTAAATATTTCCCAAACGATGTTGAACAGATTCAGGAAATGTTCACAGTATGTCTGATAATATTTTTTCTTCTGGAGAAAGTCTTATTTGTTTTATTTCGGCTAGAATAAAAGCAGTTTTTAATTTTTTAAACACCATTTTAAGGTCAATATTATTCGCCCCTTTAAGCTATATATTTATCCGATAGTCTACAGAACAAACCATCGTTACACAATAACTTGCCTAATTACCCTAACCTGCCTAGTTAACCTAGTTAACCTAGTTAAGCCTTTAAATGTCTCTTTAAGCTGTATAGAAGTGTCTTGAATAATATCTAGTCTAATATTATTTACTGTCATCATGGCAAAGATAAAATAACTCAGTTATTAGAGATGAGTTATTAAAACTATTATGATTAGAAATGTGTTGGAAATATCTCTCGTTAAACAGAAACTGGGGGAAAAAAATAAACAAGGGGGCGAATAATTCAGTGACTAACAATTTTGACTTCAGCTGTATGTTTATTATTATTTGTTTTATATTAGTTAGGCCAGACGTTTTAGCTTTGCTATTAAAACTGGAAATCGCATATTGTGATGTTTAATTGATTAATGTTGTTCTAATAATATTAATAATAATAATTAGTATATTTATTAGAACTTGCTAAAAAGTTACAAATCACATGATAAAAAGTACATGAGCTACATAAAACTTATTTTGGATTGATAGAAATTAAATTAATCTAATAAATAATAACATAATTATTATTTTATTTATTGAGAATCATTTTTTTTTTATCCAGTAGAATTCAAAGTGTTGATCAATGATCAGGGTGTCGGCGCGGTCTTAAAAAGTATTAAAAATTGATAAATCAATTATGAGGAAATTAAGTCCCTTAAAAGCTATTAAAAAGTCTTAATAGTGTTTTTACGAGGTCTTAAATTTCGTTCAAACATTGTCCAAAGTGTTTGACTCCAAAAAGGAATAAATGTATGTATTTTCCTCCTAATATTAACAACGGCGTGCTCGATCCACATGATTGGTTTAGTCTGGGGTGCATCCGGCCAAGTTCCGCCATCTAGGTTATGTCACGTAATTTGCGACAAACGCGGGAAGGTGATGTTACGCCCTACACATGTAGCGGAACCATAGAGCAGGGGTGTCAAACTCATTTTAGGAAAATCTGTTCCCAATTGGGCCGGACTGGTAAAATTGGTGCGTGGTATAACTTAAAAACAACAATTGTTTTTTTTTGTTATAGTATGATCAACATAAAACTGGGGTTGGAGCACAACTCCATCTCACGGCGTTTTATTTAGGGGCTAATTCATATAAATTCGTAAGATCTTGTCAGTACAATTTAATACGATTTGCTTATTCACCAATGACAGTTGGGTTTAGGGGTTGGGGGCCACACCTCCTTTTTAAAACTCATACACATTAGCGCTAAACGGACAAAACGTGAAATAGTTCTGTTACGCTACTCAGTAGGTACTGCATTTAAATTTAAACGTACTAGGCAGTTAGTAAAGTACGTTCTATACAGTCTGAATGTGAGAAGTATGAATGGAATTCGGACGTACTACATCCGCCATTTTGTCATGGTTACGTGACCTACCTGCGTCACTTCACTCCCATTCACGAATTCTCTCGCGTGGTATCATGGGATAGCGCAGCGTGCATGGGATGCGCACTTCAGAATCTCGCCGGAAGTCATCCGGGTACTTCTCGCATACTGATTTTCGTATTCTATGAATTTGGACGTACTACACGACTCGCATACTGATTTTAGCGTACTATATAGTATGGAAGTATGCGGTTTCGGACGCAGCCGTGGTCTTTCTCTCTGAGAAGGATGTCAAGCTGACGCTGATTAAGGTTTCTGGATCGGATGAAATTAAGAGTTCGCAATTGCGACACAATTGGAACAGCATGTTATTTTACTGAAAATTGCAGCTCATTTTTATACGTTACTGAATCATCTCGCGGGCCGTACGTTTGACACCACTGCCACCGAGCGAAAACAGACAGCAAAATGGGAAAATGTACGCTTGCGTACTCCTAGTTAGAGAAAGACGAGTTTGAAACCTGTCGCTAAAACAAACACATCACTTATTCTGTCAAGCTTTAGTTCTTCCGAGCATGTTCTGTTGCACGATTGTGCTCCGTTGATTTATTTACCCACAACTGCTTATTAAGTTAAAGATTTGATACTGATTGGAACTTGAAGTACTTAACACTAGTTGACAGATTTGAGTTTAATTTTTGTTTGCCAAGAGTAATCAAATAAAAAAAAAGGTCATTTGAAGATATTTGAGTCTGTTGAAACATTTCAAAATCGGCATTGACATTATTTCCGTACAGAAGGATGTTATTTGTTGTTATATTCTGTTCAGGCTGCCCTTGTGCTTATACATGCTGTGTTTGTGTGCATCTGTAGCGGAGAATGGTACTGTACGTTCTGCCGGGATCTTAATTCACCTGAAATGCAGTATAACGTCAATGCCGGCGGGGAATCAAAGGACCTGAAGCAGGATCTGCATTCGGAAACATTCACGCATGTGGACAGAAGAGTATGATCTGCTTTCCTTTCGCTTAGCTTCATTTGCTTTATGCTAGCTGTCACTGTAGGAGTGCAGAGTTTTATATTTTACAGTTTGATTATACACTATCTGACAAACGTCTTGCGGTCGATCCCAGAGTCGTAAGAGCAGCAAATAATAACTTGACTTCTAGTTGATCAGTAGGTGGATTTTGATGAATCATCCGTTGAACTGCATCACAAATACTGCAGAGGACCCGCACGGAGCCAAGATTCTCATAGAAATCAGTCAAGTTCGGTGAAGGAGAAATCATGGTTTGGGGTTACATCTAGTATCGGGGCGTGCGAGAGATCTGCAGAGTAGATGGCAACATCAACAGCCTGAGGTATCAAGACATTCTCCAGCAGGATAGCGCTCCTGCTCATCCTTCAGCCTCCACATCAAAGCTCCTGAAAGCTAAGAGGATTGGCCAGCCCAGTCACCAGCAATGAACATTGTTGAGCATGTCTGGGGTAAGATGGATGAGACATTGAAGATGAATCCAAGGAGTCTTGATGAACTCTGGGAGTCCTGCAAGAACGCTTTCTTTGCCATTCCAGCTGACTTTATTAAATAATCTCGAGGCCTTTGCCTTTCTTCTGATACCAAGTGATCAACTAGAAGTCAAGTTATTATTTGTTGTTCCTAAAACTTGAATAGGCCACAAGACAGTGGTCAGGTAGTGTATAGATGTCTATATTTTTAATGGCAGTGTTTATTGTGTGTTCCTGCAGAAATGTGAGCGACTTCTGCTTCGCCTGTACTGCAATGAGCTCAGCACTGATTTCCAGGAGCCGATAACACCTTCGGTAAGCTCACGCCTCATGTGCGTGTGCTCTTTAATAACCCTTGCGTGCTGTTGGGGTGTTTTCGTCCACTCTGGGGTGATTTTTGAATCTTAATTTGGCCACCACTTTCTCTGTGTTTCAGCAAATGGCGTCACATAATATGGACAAATGCTTAGTAAATGGTCAAACACTCATCCATACACTCTGGGCATATTTACTACCCTTTCATTATGTTGGTGGCTGGTTTTGTCCCATTGTTCCATTGATTATATACAGGTGTTTGATAAGCATTTCGCAATGCGTTTTTTCTATCTTTTGTCTCCCTTTAAACTAAATATACTCGCATAGTGTTCCGTATTCATCCTTCTTCCCTATATAATTGTTAATATGTACAAGGGAGTACGATTTTTTAGATAGAAACAAGTCAAAATAATCCAAGTATGTACATAGTCTAAGTGTGCACACTTTAATGTATAGACCTTTTTCACGGCTGCTGCATGGAGGGCGGCATAGCGACCAGCGTCTTCCGGTAGAATGCTTAAAAACTTGCGTTTACAGCGTGTACAACTGGTAATTTGCGCTCGGAAAATGGGTTTCAATAACGTTTTTAATGGATAACAGAGTGTTTTTGTGACACGCAACTTAGAAATGTGTCTGTTAAAGCCGTTTTAATCTGTCACGTGTGGTTCAAGCGCGTCAGAAATACGAGACAAACGTTCTCCTGGTTCACGTGTCTGCCGTCAGAAATACAGTGTAGAGAGAGAGAGAGAGCAAACCAGAGCACTGGCATGAAGCTTAACAGGTATGAAAGTCGTGCAATTTACAAAAATGAGCAATAAAAGTCTGTTATTGATACTCTGCTGCTGATTTGCTGTTCATTCTAATCGCGAGCCGTTTGTGTTTTATTTCGTGTGTTGTTTTCACCACGGTTTGTGTTTTTCTGTCATTTCGAAATGACACTAGCCTATTTTTTTTACTTTGTCACAGTTATTAAATCAGTGTGTCAGTGGCACAGTACAGGCTACGTGTGTGTGTCAAACATTTTGGTGAGCTACATTAGTTTGGGCTGGTTATATATTTGAAATAAAGAGAAAACGTTGACTTTAGCGATGACGAGGCGTCAATTAAACTGCAGAAGATGCCGTCTGACAACGAGGGGAAAACGCCTCACAGCAGCTGTTTTCCATCCTAGTAGATCGCATTTCTTTAAATGATCAGTCCAGGAGATGGTGCTGATGGACAACAGTGTTAGTTCAAAAAGGATAAAAGCAGGTAACATAGATTAAAACTAGAACCTAAAGTTTATTGATAAACTTTGATGTTGGCTTGAGAAAGCCAACGTGACTGCGCTAGGACTGGGAATGGCAGTTGGCAGGAAGCACGGCGGAGGTTGCTAAGTGGCTGCTAGGCAGTTGCTAAAACATTTATGGCATTGTTAGGTAGTTGCTAAGCAGTTGCTAAATAGCAATGCTCGTGTACATGTTTGATCAAATGCCAATACTTAGTAGGCATTTCTAGCATATGTTATTGCATTTAGATAATCATTCATAGCATGTAGCTAATCGTTATTAGCACTTGGCTTCCATTATCATTGTTACCATGCATAGTACACAGGAAGTCCCATTTGCTAGCATGAGTCAAACAAGCCAATGCCCAGGTCCCTACGACGTTCTGATGTAGAGATATTGCTATTTTTTAAATGGTTGCTAGGTTATACTGTTTTATTGCTATGGGGACATTTGACAGGTTAGTGATGATACATCAAAGCTTCTTGGCAATATGAGTGATCTAAATCAACCCCGATGTTTCTATGACAGTCTTTATGAGTGTCAAAAACTGGACTTGAACATTATGTATTCCTTGTGTTGGGTTGTGGCTGGAAGGGAATTCGCTGTGTAAAACAAATCCTGGATAAGTTGGCGGTTCATTCCGTTGTGGCGACCCCTGATTAATAAAGGGACTAAGGGAATGAACATTATGTAAAAATGGCTTGCCGTATTTTTTTGAAAATACAATGCTTAATAAGTGTGAAGGTGATACATGCAAAAATGGCTTGCCATATCAGTAAAAATATGGAGTTTAAGTTAAAAATGGCTTGTCATATTTTAAGAAAAATAATGCTTAAAAATTATTTATTGTAAAACTACAAGTCTGATAAACATTAAAGATGTAGCAACAAAATCTAACACATCTAAATACAGCTTTTGGCCAAATTTGGGGCTTGTATAATTTTTTAATATGCCTGGATTATAAAAAATTAATATTTAAAATTTTTATTAAAAAAACAATAAGTCTTATAGGCATGAGGAGATATAGCAACAATCTTGAATGTAGAAGGCACATTTTGACCACATTTGGGCCTTGTGGCATGAACGGCCTAGGAGGAGATACGTTTGTTTTCAAGGACAGAGTAGTATAACAGTATGTTGGCTTTCTCAAGCCAACATAACTATCGTTTCAAAGCTGTCCAAATGTGACTGTTTACATGCATCAGCTGCCGACCGGAAGTTCTTCGCATTCTCCTTGCGCATACACGCAAAGCATAATGGGTCATTTTGCGTTTCAAGAAAAAAGTCTATATAGTGTGCCATTTGGGACAAACATATTGTCATTGTCTTTTCATTTATTGATGAGTGCTCTTTTCTTCTGTGTTTCGCTGTTTGTGCAGTCCATGCCGGAGTACAGTGAGATCATAAAGACCCCTATGGACCTGTCTGTGGTCAGAAGCAAGCTGGAGGACAGCCAATACAAGAGCACTGAGGACTTTGTCGCCGACGTCAGGCTGATCTTCAAAAACTGCGCAACCTTCCACAAGGTGTGAGGACTCGCACTGACTTCCAGTATAACAAGCATATTTAGAATATAAGAGATGATTCAACAATTTTTTTAGGGCTTTTTAAAACTTTTATTTTTATTCTCTCTCTCTCAATTCAATTCAGTCTAGCTTTTCTATCTTGACTTTATATTTGTTCAATAACTAATGACACAATGTGTGTGTGTGTGTGAATGTTCAGCTCAAAGTGCCACATAAATAATGTTTTATGACTTATCGAAACTGCCCTCTTAATGCTGCGTTCACACCAGACTAGGAAGAAGCGTCAAGCGCAAGTGATTTATATGTTAAGTCAATGCAAAGACGCGAATAGGCATCCTGCGGCGCAATGCGCACAAATCAAGCGAAGCGAGTTTTAACTGAATCGCTCAAATTCGAGAATCTAAACTTCCGCGGACATTTGCGCCACATTAACCAATCAGGAGCTTTCTCTTGTATGGGCGTGATTATGACGTAGCGTCTGTTGTTGGTGTCCCGGGGAAATCCTCCAGCCAACACAGGACAACAGTTGATCAAACTGGGCTCAGCTCAATCTGAAGCTCCGCTGAAGTCTTCCAAGTTTCTGGAGGAGTTGATGAACTCACAGAGCTGGGTGCACCTCCAGCTTAGGTTTCCTTTTTTAGTTAGGGACCGAGCACCAAATGATATAAGGCCCTATTTGAATTGCTTACCATGCCTGAAAACTCACAAACTTTGCACACGCCTCAGAAATGGCGAAAATTTACGTTTGTTATGTGTTTCGGTAGTGGGCGTGGCAAAATGACTAAACAGCGCCACCTATTAAAATAAAATGGACGAGCTCCCGATCTACGAATCACGCACATGCACGAAAATTGGCACACACCTCAAACATGCCAAAACATACGAAAAAGTCTCTTGGAGCCATATCTCAAACCCAACAGGAAGTCGGATATTTTTAACTTCCTGCAGCGAAAAAGTGTCGTTTTTGCCATATCCAGGCGTTGTATTTTAACGAACTCCTCCTAGGGATTTTATCCTATCGACACCAAAATTGGGTTTTGTCATCTAAAGGCCTTGGCGATGTTAAATTGCGAAGCTTTAGAGTTTTCTTCGATGGGCGTGAAAGAATCTAGTAGACTCAGACACGGCTCTAAATGAATTGGCGCTGTTTTTCAGCCTTCCTAAAGCACATAAACACAGCTATTCCCTCAATGAAATCCATGTTAGCCATTTAGCCGCGAAGCTACAGTCACCGAGCAGACAGAAGCATTGCCTATGATGCGAATCCGCGTCTACTGCTCAGTGAATTTGACGTGCAAGTAAAGCGGATTTGACGCACGAATGATGCGAGTAAACTCAAAATGTTCACGCGGCTACTTACGCGCGTACCGCGTCTGGTGTGAACACAGCATTTGGCTTTGATCCTAATTGTGTCACTTTAAATTCAAATGAGATTGTGCTCTTTTTAGAAAAGGGCGGAGCTACAAACACCTGCGTGTCATCATAGTGGCAGATTCAAAAATGACACTTAGCTATTGTAGTCCTATGCTAATGAGGGAGATATGGTCACTGTAATAAACTTCACGGCCCTTTGGCCGCCGGGAAGAAGGAGGCGGAGAACCGACGTATTTTAAAAAATATTTATTTATAATATGAACGGCAGCTCCTCACGGAGACTGCTGTCTAAACCAAAACAAACGGACGTCAAACTGAAAACAAAAGTAAAACATGTCCGGGCCCGGTCCTCTCTCGGCTTCCTCTGCCGTCGTTCCTCCTTTTATGGTCCAGAGCTCCTTCCGTGGGATTCGAGGCAGGTGCGCACCGCAGGTGTATTCACTTACGCGGTGGCCTCACTCCGTTCCCACGGCTCTCGGCCACGCCCCCTCGCCACACTCACTAATGAGCTTCACTCTGATGACATGTACAGCTGGAGAATGTCAATCTGCACACTGTTTACATCAGGTGTGATTATAAAAAAAGCTGGTTTTATTCGCACACTGTTGCCACAGGGATCTAACGATACCATTTTTTTGGAACCGATCCAATATCGATACCAAAATTCTGAGTATCGACTGATACAGATCTGATACTGTGTGTGTTTTTTTCCAAGCATAATACAGTTTCTGTTGCTCCGGTGCTAAACTCAAATAACATATCTTCTTTAGTATAAATAACAGACCTATAGGCCTACCGTAATGACAGACGGCACAATAACTAAAAACAGGATGTGTGCTGTAAACTAGGCTACATTACTTGAGCATTCGCTATCACATTGATCTGCTGTGGTCCAGCTTAGGTTTCCTTTTTTTAATATTAAGATTGTTCTTGAAATCTGTAATATGCTACCAATATTGAAAGTAATCATTGGTAACATAATCAGCCTTTTAGCAAAGCCTGATATTTTCCTGCAGGTTTGACGCAGACTAAAGTAAAACCGTCTGAGGCCGGTTTTACTTAATAATCCCTCACCAAATCTCGCCGTGCGTGAGAAAGTTGAAAACCCACTTATATGCACAAACTGGTCTGTTTAATAAAATATTATTTTACAGCTTTATTTGTATAGCGCTTTTACAATGTAGATTGTGTCAAAGCAGCTTCACATAAATGGTCATAGTAACTGGAACAGTGTAGTTCAGTTTTTAGTGTTTAAGTTCAGTTCAGTTCAGCTCAGTTCAGTGTGATTTAATCATTACTGAGAGTTCAAACACTGAAGAGCAAATTCATCAATGCGTAGCTCTACCAATCCTGAACCATGCGAGCCAGTGGCGACAGCGGAGAGGGAAAAAAATATAGATATATTAATGTAAATAAAAGGACAGAGAAGTATTGACAGCTTCAGAGTAGCCTATACTAGGCTAAATAATGTTCAGTTAATGACAATCCATAATGTGCCATCAGTTTCACTTTTATTCATTTAGTTAACTACTTTGACCACTATGAGCCAGGCTTTACAAACTATTCGCAGCACTGAAAGTATTCCCCGCGGAAGAACAAACTCAGTCGGAAGGATGAGAGAACAGAAACTTATTATGAGAATAATCTTACAGAGCAGCGCACATCATGTTCATCCAGCCCTCCGGTATCTGCGGTCACTTCCAAAACAGCAGCAAAACAGAAAGAAAGCAACGCGATCAAGATCTGCCCAATGTGTCATTGAGCCTTTCAGGTAGGCCTACTTTGTGTGTGAAGCGCAGGTAATAACCCTCTCTACTCCAGTGTTGCGAATGCGATCTGCTGATCTGATAGAGACAGCGCAACATGATTTGGAAACAGCAATGAACTCCATGTAGCGGTTCAAAATGAATCCATTTAATGCAGAACTAAATGCATTTCTCCACTAATTACTTAGATTAACAGGAACAAATAGTCTTAATTAAGTCGTAATTAGGCTGTGGAATGGCTTCAGAACATTTGGGATATGGTAGGCCTACATGACAACTTTCTAGTGCCTCATAATAGTCTAGTTGGCTTATAAACACAGAATATAGCTCACGCGCAAGATCAGATTTGGATCGGGACCAGCTGGCCGATACCCCATCCAGCAAAAATATGCGGTATCGAACCGATATCCGATCCAAGTTTCGGGATCGGTTCATCCCTAGTTGCCACACAACTGTGTTTAGACATGATAGCTCCCCTTTAATGCTGCGTGTTTGTTTTGTCTGTAGGAAGACACCGAGATGGCCAGCGTTGGTGCTAATCTAGAGAGCTTCTTTGAGGAACAACTGAAGCTCCTGTATCCGGAGCGGACCTTTCCTGGCGTGAAGGAGGAGGGCATTGCTTCTGCATGTCCTAAAGAAACAAGTCCCATCGCCAAGACCCCCCCACAGGACACTTCTCCGGCAGAGGAGACTGCGAGACCCCCTGCTGAAGATCTCCCTCAGGAGGAAGCTAGCGCTAAAGACACGGAGGAGAAGCCAGAGGACATCAGCTCTCCTGCTGGATCTGCTCCCGCTGAGGCGGAAACGGACCGTAAAGAGAGTAAAGATCCGGCATCCTGAAGGAATCTTCCTTTGAAGCAGCGCTGCGCAAACTCTGTCCTGGAGAGGATCGCCGTCCCGCAGAGTTTAAGCTCAGGATTCAGGGTTGTTATTACTTTATATTTGGTATTAGTTTGTCGCTACATTGCGAAAATGCTTCCTTACTTCGAGTTTATGTCTTGTTCTTAGCTCAAATATCTCAATATTTTTAAATCAAGAAGCAAGGAAGGAATATTGTGATGTTTCCAGAAAGAATCAGTCAAAAATAAGGGAGTTTTTCCTTGAAACGAGCTAAATAACCCGCCGTTTTCAAGAAAAACTCGCTTAATTTTGACTGATTATTTCTGAAAACATCACAATATTCTTTACTTGTGCTTAAATATGCTTCTCGATTTAGGAATCTTTAGATATTTGGACTAAAAACAAGACAAGAAATTCGAAGTTAATAGCTCGGTGTCAGTTTAAGGACATAAGGGCTGCAATATATCAATAATGAATACACAACGCTTCGAAAAGGTGCTTCCAACACCATCATTTCACCACTACCTTATGTCCCGAGTTCACCGATGAGGGAATGCAAGAATGTGTACGCAGATTTGGCTGTGTTTTCCTGTATTTAACCAGAACCCTATAACGGGAAGCAGCTTCAAGTATAAGATATGAGAGAGATATGTGTTTAGTTTTCAAGAGGATTTGTAGGGAGGGAGGCTTCCTCGCCCTCATTACTTTAATTTCTGTATGAAGCAGTCCATTTATTTGTGATGGTTACTGCACTGATATGTTGCCAAACCAAGTTGATATAATTATAGGAGAACAGACGGATAAAGCAGCATCAGTGAGCTCTGTCCAACACAATATAGTTGTGTCAGTCGAATATACACGCTGCCTCTGAAACCTTTGTTCATAATTAAAAAAAATATTAGATCGGGTTTTTCGTTTGTTTTTTTCACATTCGTAAGCATTTTGAGACATGTTTCGACAATTCACAGCCACCGTACGAGCAAAAGACAAAAATCGAGGCCATGTCCACTCAGACATGAGGATTAAAAAAATCTCTAAACGATGCACGGCAAATCTGCAAGAGCACGCCAGACCAGCAGGGGGCGATAAGCAGCTTTCATGATGGCTTCACGCCAAATGGGGAATGAAGTATTTGTGCTGGTTGCAAATTGCTTACAAGTCAACGCAAACATGAGAACGGAGCCGGAGCAAACTTTACATTACATCCCGCGAACAACATAGAATACGTGAACATGCGGAAATTGCCGCATTGTCGCGTTTTTAGGACAACATATAAGAAAAACTCATACGAAAGAAATAAAGCCCTTGCTAAACCTCAGTACATACAGGGTGGACATTTTATAATAAAGACAGTTGATGTGTTCACGCAGGTATAGGTAAAACATCATCAGGGTAATACCGCTGCTGTGGACTAGTAATGGAAAATGGTCCCCCAAATACTCTGGATCAAAAATGATCGTCTTCTATGAGGTGATGGTTCTCACGCCACTGCACAAACATTTTAACCTCCAAGCTGTAATTAAAGGTTGGCATGATACAGCAAGCGATTGGATTGTTGGAGGATGGGTCCTGCTTAGAAACTTGACATGCCCTCATATCCCCACCCTGAAGGACTGATGTAATGATTAATAAGCTAAAATACTGAAAGCCCCGCCCTAAAGAACTATAGCTCCGCCCTAACAGACTGATAGCTCCAATGTAAAGAACTGATAGCCCAACACTAAATGATTGATAGCTCCGCCCTTAAGGACTGATAGCTCCTCCCTAAAGGCCTGATAGCTCCTCCCTAAAAGACTGATAGCTCCACTATAAATAACTGATAGCCCTGACCTAATGGACTGATAGCTCCATCCTAAATAACTGATAGCTTCACCCTAATGGACTGATAGCCCCGCCCTAATTAACTGATAGCCCTGACCTAATGGACTGATAGCTCCACCCTAAATAACTGATAGCTCCACCCTAATGGACTGATAGCTCCACCCTATATAACTGATAGCCCTGACCTAATGGACTGATAGCTCCACCCTAAATAACTGATAGCCCTGACCTAATGGACTGATAGCTCCACCCTAAATAACTGATAGCTCCACCCTAAATAACTGTTAGCTCCACCTTAATGGACTGATAGCTCCACCCTAAATAACTGATAGCTCCACCCTAATGGACTGATAGCTCCACCCTAAATAACTGATAGCCCTGACCTAATGGACTGATAGCTCCACGCTAAATAACTGATAGCTCCACCCTAAATTACTGATACCTCCACCCTAAATAACTGATAGCCCTGACCTAATTGACTGATAGCTCCACCCTAAATAACTGATAGCCCCGACCTAATGGACTGATAGCTCCACCCTAATGGAATGATAGCTCCACCCTAAATAACTGATAGCCCTGACCTAATGGACTGATAGCTCCACCCTAAATAACTGATAGCCCTGACCTAATGGACTGATAGCTCCACCCTAAATAACTGATAGCTCCACCCTAAATAACTGTTAGCTCCACCCTAATGGACTGATAGCTCCACCCTAAATAACTGATAGCTCCACCCTAATGGACTGATAGCTCCACCCTAAATAACTGATAGCCCTGACCTAATGGACTGATAGCTCCACGCTAAATAACTGATAGCTCCACCCTAAATTACTGATACCTCCACCCTAAATAACTGATAGCCCTGACCTAATTGACTGATAGCTCCACCCTAAATAACTGATAGCCCTGACCTAATGGACTAATAGCTCCACCCTAAATAACTGATAGCTCCACCCTAATGGACTGATAGCTCCACCCTAATAAACTGATAGCTCCACCCTAATGGACTGATAGCTGACCCTAAATAACTGATAGCCCTGACCTAATGGACTGATAGCTCCACCCTAAATAACTGATAGCTCCACCCTAAATTACTGATACCTCCACCCTAAATAACTGATAGCCCTGACCTAATGGACTGATAGCTCCACCCTAAATAACTGATAGCCCTGACCTAATGGACTAATAGCTCCACCCTAAATAACTGATAGCTCCACCCTAATGGACTGATAGCTCCACCCTAATAAACTGATAGCTCCACCCTAATGGACTGATAGCTCACCCTAAATAACTGATAGCCCTGACCTAATGGACTGATAGCTCCACCCTAAATAACTGATAGCTCCACCCTAAATTACTGATACCTCCACCCTAAATAACTGATAGCCCTGACCTAATTGACTGATAGCTCCTCCCTAAATAACTGATAGCCCTGACATAATGGACTGATAGCTCCACCCTAAATAACTGAGAGCTCCACCCTAATGGACTTATAGCTCCACCCTAAAGGGATTCCATTATGCCGAGTTCAGACTGCAGGATTTTCAAAGTAGTTGCGTCACGGATGTTTTCACGCTGCATAACTATCTGGGCTAGCGTTCAGTCACTGCTGTGTTTACACTGTAGGATGGATCGGTGACAGGGTTTCACACGGTATGACTTTACATTAGGAAATTCGCTGACAACTTTGTCAGTCCACGAACTACGTCTCACAACCAACACACGCGAGACATGGAAACAACGTGAGGTCACGAAGTATTAATTATGTTATTACTACATAATAGCAGTCTCTCAAACTGTTTTCTTTTTGGACCCGGTTGTGACATTGCTCAGACGACACGTCAAACAGACACGGGCGCTCCTTACAAATTGATTTGTCCCTGCTAGCATGTGGCGTTTCGAACGATTCGAAACAATGGGTTGTTTTGCGAAGCAATTGGTGGTTGTTTCAAAGCTTCGAAGATCACTTCTGCCATGTTATGTCTAGATAAGAGCTGGGTTAGCTGGTTTAGGTCTGTTTTGGGTTGGACTGAGACCTCCAGGACAGAGTTTGGGCAGCCCCTGCTCTAAAGACGAGATTGCGACGAGCACTTCTCTAGAGTGTGAAATCTCTGGTTCATTTTGCAATAATTAAACCGTAATGGAACAGTTTAAAGCATTTGGAAAATAGATCGTTTGATCGCTAAAGATGTAAATTAACAGTACTGTGTGTAAAATAGACATACTAAACAGCTGCCCAATACATTTTTTATTTTATTTTCATTTTATAGACGTGCAATAAGGAAAGTAAAATTGACAAATGACATTCGATTCACGTTTATTGTTTTTATTGCACACACACACACACACATGTACAGTGCCTCCAGAAAGTATTGATAGCGCTTCACTTTTTCCACATTTATTTATGTTACAGTCTTATTCCAAAATGGATGATACTCATTTATACAACAGTTCTGTCTGGGTCTCAAATCTGATTGGCTGATAGTCGTGCAATATTATTCATGTATATATTCTGCAATATCAGAACTCCTACAGTCTCTCTACCCTTTGTGTATTACTCCGCCCACATACAGCCAGCAAAAAGCAGACACTACAGATCTAAAGTTTCAAAGATGCTTGCTCAACTGTTTACCTTATGATTTAAATCCAAGGCGGAAGAAAGTAGTTCCTCATACAAAAGGGTTTTTGAGACTCTCCATGTTTGATTTTGTTTTTATATACACAATTGTGACGTCAAACTCCGCCTGCGGCCTCGTGCCATCGCATGCCTCCCACCAGTGCCGATATACAGCCATATCGCACTGCTACTCGTGTGATATTGCTCACTGATTTCCTCAACATTCTACACACAATCCCCCATAATTACAATGTGAAAAAAGTTTTTGAAATAGTTGCAAATTCATTCAAAATAAAAAAGCTGAAAAATCACATGTGCATCAGTGTTGACAGCCGTTGGCGTGAAGCTCTAAATTGAGCTCAGGTCCATTCTGTTTCCTCTGATCATTCTTGGGATGTTTCAGCAGCTTCATTGGAGTTCACCTGTGCTCAATTCAGTTGATTGGACATGATCTGAAAAGGCGTACACCTGTCTATATAAGCGCCCAGGGTTGACAGTGCATGTCAAAGCACAAACCAAGCATGAAGGCAAAGGAATTGTCTGTAGACCTCCGACACAGGACATTTCTGCTGCTCAGAAAGTTCCAATGAGCACAGCGGCCTCCATCATCCGTACGTGGATGATGTTAAAAACCTGCAGGACTCTTCCTAGAGCTGGCCGGCCATCTAAGCTGAGTGATCGGGGGAGAAGGGCCTTAGTCAGGGAGGTGATCAATAACCCGATGGTCACTCTGTCTAAGCTCCAGCCTTCTACTGTTGAGAGAGAAGAACCTTACAGAAGGACAACCATCTGTGCAGCAATCCACCAATCAGGCCTGTATGGTAGAGTGGCCAGACGGAGGACACTCCCCGCCTGGAATTTGCCAAAAGGCATCTGAAGGACTCTCAGACCATAAGAAACAAAACTCTCTGGTCTGATGAGACTAAAATTGAACTCTTTGGAGTGAAAACCAGGCGTTACCATTGGAGAAAACCAGGCAGCGCTCATCACCAGGCTAATAGCATCCCTACAGTGAAGCATGGTGGTGTTGGCATCATGCTGTGGGGATGTTTTTCAGCAGCAGGAACCGGAAGACTAGTCAAGATAGAGGGAAAGATGTATGCAGCAATGTACAGAGACTTCAGGCTGTACCTGCTTCAGAGTGCTCTTGAGCTCAGACTGGGGCGACGGTTCATCTTCCAGCAGGACAATGACCCAACGCACACCGCCAAAATATCAATAGAGTGGCTTCACAACAACTCTGTGAATGTCGTTGAGTGGCCCAGCCAGAGTCCAGACCTAAATCATATTGAACATCTCTGGAAAGATCTGAAAATGGCTGTACACCGTCGCTTCCCATCCAACCTGATAGAGCTTGAGAGGTGCTGCAAATAGGAATGGGAAAAAGTTCCCAAAGACAGGTGTGCCAAGCTTGTGGCATCATATTCAGAAAGACATGAGGCTGTAATCGCTGCCAAAGGTACATCAACAGAGTATTGAGCAAACGCTGTGAACACTGATGTACATCTGATATTCAGGGTTTTTATTTTGAATAAATTTGCAACAATTTAAAAACTCTTTGTTCACAATGTCATTATGGTGGATTGTGTGGAGAATGTTGAGGAAATAAATGAATACAATCCATTTTGGAATAAGGCTGTAACATAAACAAATGTGGAAAAAGTGAAGCGCTATCAATACTTTCCAGATGCACTGTATTTAATCTCATTAAATGTATTAAAATAAGCCTAAATTATTCATTCACTATATATCTTCTCCTACCTAAACCCAGACATCTAAATCACGAATAACAATCAGTGTTTTTTCATATGAATGTGTCATTTTGAGCAGACTCAACAGCAAAAGCAACTATAAAACAGAGTAAACGCAACTGGAAAATTTGAAAAAAAACAAACAGAAACAATTACAATAGGAGCTGAATGATACATGAACGTGCACTAAACAAATATTTAGCTGTCTACATGTGTTTGTTGCCTCATTACAAACATATAAACGTAACATAAAAACATAAAAAACGTACGTTAAGCTAACAAAAAATACAGCTAAACCAACGCAAACTCAAGACAATTCGTAACTTTTTGCTTTAGTGGCTAATTCGTATGAATTCATACGATCTAATTTGTACTATATAGTACGCCTCCTTTTTAAAATCGTACAATTTCGTATGACTGAATTTGTACGAACGCGTACGAATTAGCCACTAAACTGACAAAATGTAAAATACTTACGATTCCTTGTGAGATCAGGCTGGCTAAGCAGACCCTCATGCCTTGTCTAGGCGGTGCAGAAAATATTTATAATCCACCTTTATTCAACTGAACTGAGAGATCTACAATGCTGATTCCATTTTCAAAATAAGTATACA